GAGAGGTTTCGGGAAATAATAATGAGGGCAGGAGGGAAAAGGAATAATGTCCTTATACAGCCATAAAGGATTCACACAGAGTGTTTGAGAGTGTAAAAAGATTTGTCCATGTAGGTCAGCAGACTCTTTACAGCACGCTTCCTATGCTGAATGGGACTGGCAGAGATTTTGTGATCATTCCCTTTACACTCCCAGAAATCAGTCACAGTAAATAAGTGGATTTCTCCTTTATAATGAAACAGTTGGTCCAGCGGCGCCCTGTTGGCTCGAGGGTCAGAGTGTTGGTTGGGGAGCTTTGTTGCATGATGTTTTTTACTCCCTCCTAATTAAAGCCATAACATCAGTTGTGGTTTTTGCATGAATGTTCCCAAAACTAGGTCTTATGCTTTATAAAAGTGATGATGTTTTGTGAAAAAGATTCAAACTACGTGTGTCCACAGACAACTCAGTGAGGTGAGCTCTGTCGTCCAGATCACTGCCACTGAACAAAATGCACCTGTCTTGGAAGAAATAAATGCCCATTTTCTTAGAACAGACTCATATCTTTGAACATTGTTGGTAAGTTTTCATATCAAAATTGATACTGACAAAAAGGGGACAAAAATCAGAGCATTATTGGACGCTTAGTGAAAACGCTATTCGTGTATGATGATGACAATGCTTGCATAGTTAAACATTATTGTCTGCTCAGACTGTATGACAACAAGGATATTTAATTAATGCCATGTGTTTACAGGCAGTATTACCAATTGTAATGAATGTTTTGCAGGAATATTTTAAACAAAGATGTAAGGATTAATATACATCATGTTGTTTTTGATGCTCAGAAATGCTTTTTTTTTATGTTGCTTTATAATCTTGAGCAGTTTCTGTCCATCATCTATATGTCTGTATGGGAATATCTTAACAGTCAGAGCAAACTTGATCAAGATCATTTGCTCCAGCTGAAAAAAGGCCAAGTTCTGAGTCTAGTTCCCCTTTTTTGCACCTGCGATTTTAAGTGTGAGTTTATAAAAGATTTTCACTACGTCTTATACATTTATCATGGTTTAAAGGCATGATTGTAAAATTGTCTCAAAGGATGCAGTTACATTTATTTAAAACAGAAAAGCAACAATTATTTATACTGCTTCTAACATAACATGTAGACAGTTACATTTTTTTTTTATCGCTAGTTTAATTTGATTCACTTTTTATTGCTCTGCTCTACAAACTTTAAAACAGGCATAACTAGCTGATGTCAGCTGACTAAACAGTCAGGCTGTCTGCTGTGGTCAGCTGCTTTACAGACATCTCACCCACACTGTAGTGCTGAAACAAGAGTTATTAATAAATCCTTTGTATCCAGGTAACTACTGTCTCATTGGGTTAAAATCTGTTTTCCAAGAGAGAGACACTGCCACAAAGGCAACACGTGAAACAAATAAAAGAAAACAAAGTAAACACAGCTAAAGCAGTAAACAGTCGGACCATGATAATAAGAATAAGAGTGCTTGGCGAGTCCTTGGTACCCACACCATGACTGTCCTTGTTTTTCATGATTGGAAAACATTTCCACATCATGTTTGTGAGGGAAAATATTAGGGCCTTATTTCAGCCATCTTACTGGCAGTGCATAGCAGTGGGTGCAGGAAGAGCAGCGGTGCGTTACTCCATGCTCTGCACAAAGTGAGAAAACTCGGTTCCCTAAAGCACTTTCTCTGATATCTTAAAGAGGGAGTTTAACTGTAGAGGAAGTAGGAATGGAAACTTCAGCAGAACTAGGTACAACTGTGCTGTACCTTAATTAACCATCTGATGCGCACTGTATTTAATTGTGATATTTAGCAAACTAGTTATTTTTGATGACAAAAACGGTTGCCAAATCGTCTCATGTTTTCTTGAAAGATAACAAGATGATAACATTTCATCACTGACCCTGGGGTGAGAGTAGTTCTGAGAGGAATGGCATAAACAGATACCTCTCGCTTTCTCCAGATACATTACCGCCTTTTGTCGAGAGTGATTGCTTTTCAAATTGTGCTGGTGTCTGCTTAATGAGCCCTCTTACATCTAAAAAGATGAAGCGGTAAGGTTAGAGCCAGCCCGTCCTTATTAGACGTGTTTGTGGACAGTTCTGTTTCACATATTGACTTATTTATGTTAGAGGTGGAGAAACGATGTATCTTTACATTTATTTTTCCTCGTACTGATGATGAGAAGACGAAGGCAAGGCGGCTGGTCCACGGGACGGCCTGCTGTTTCAGGCGCTACCCCTGCTGGGGTTATGTGTTTAAAATCTATTACCCCCACAGCTAGGATTAGTGTCTGTGTGTAAAGAAGAGAGTGCGTGTGTGTTTCCCCTAAAGACGTAATCACTATGGTAATACAAAAGCTAGTGGATTAAACGGTGGGGAAAGTTGATTTACACTTTGCCTTTGGTGGGATTCATGTGTACATACAGTACAAACACAAACTCGGAGGTTGCAGAGAGAGGGAATGTGGTTTTTTTTATCCCCAGGTTTGGCAGAACAAAGTTAACATCTCAGGTCATTATTTTTAAATCTAGTCCAGAGTAAAGAGCCTTTATATGTTTACTGTGAAGTTTGGAGATGTATTCATGGGCAACATGTGCTTCAGAGTTCACTCTGATTTATTATTGAACTGCTTAGAAAGTTTTTTTTAACTTAATAGAAAAAAAATTATAGGTATGATAGAAATTTATCTAATAAGCACATTTGATTGATTTTTGTTTTACTTCTTTTTTTTTTAGCTAATAGCTGTGGTACATAAAATAAATCCTGCTTCCAGGAGGTTTTTCAATTACCTTAAGCTGCAGCTTGTCTTTTCTTCTACTCTAGTGTATTTCAGCCTTGCTTTTTGTTTTTATCTATTTCCTGCTTTACTTTCATCCCTGCCTCCCTAGAGGGGAATATTACCAGCATCTTCTGCTGTGGGGCCGAGCCGAGGCCTTGGTCAATAATTAATTGAAATCCCTTCACTTAATTGCCATCTTTGCTTAGCTTGCCCCTTGGTGAAATTGGAAAAAGTTGCTTTTGTGGAGCAGAGCAACTGATACTCTTTTGCTTTGCAGGATAAATGAGAGATGTAGTGCAGATCAGATGCATTAAAAAACAACTCCGGTTTGGAGGGCGATACCTGGGCTGCTGCCATCCAGAATTGATTAAATTTTTCTCCTTGGATCAAATTTGGACTATCGTTTTGGATTTTAACAAACACATGCTAATGAAGTGAAGGTTACAAAAAGTATTACATTTAATTTATTCATTAGGATGATTTGCAATAAGAAGCTAAGAAAACAAAAAAGTGACCAGGCAGGTGTAGGTTGCTACATGATCATTTATGACCAATAATCTTTACATCACAGTAACTGGTTTTTCTTTTCTTAAACATGTTAACAGGAAAAATAATTCATCTGATGATGCTACAAATGTTAGAGGGATGGGTGTAAAAATAAGTTCATATTTCTACCCACTCCTTTGAACGTTTAAATATATTTTACTACTATTCCTTTTGTGTTTGGTTTGCTTTTGTTTAAGATTTATTTTGTTTGTATGTAACTTTGCTTATGCTTCTGTTAAACTACTTTTATAAAGTCAAACCAAACAAAAGACTTACTTTAAGAGATAAACAAATAAAATTCCTTTCAACAAATTACGTACATTTTTTGGCATGTAATTGAAATTACTTGTTGAAAGTTTGGTACGTTTAAAAGGTACTTAGGATCAGATACTTAATGAAATTAACAAAACTCCAGTCAATACTTTACAATTTGTACTTTAATTTTAATTAGTTTAAATATAATTATATTCAAATAATTTATTTAATCACTTACACATCTAATGCTGAACTTTGGATGTAGTTTTTTTTTTTTTTAGTTCATAGAATAAATTTAGATTTTTTCAAAAAAGAGAAATTTCCTTGTTATCAAATCTTCCTTACAGTTGATTTGTCTTCCACATTAAAAAGAACAAAACTCAAAATAACTGGCTGCTAATTAACACACGAAACATTCCTGGAACAGTAGTAAACCTTTTAAAGCTATCCTCATCTTTTATTCAACAACCACAGCTGTGACGCGACTTTCATTTCCAAACTTTATGATGCTCAGCACTGCAGGACGTTTGACTTCAACTCTGCCACTGAACTAAATAAAGCATAAAATGTATAGCAATATAGCAATGCGTTTTCCAGATCGGTTCTAGCGAGGTGCTTTTGTAACCCAATGGTTAAATGCGGACAATAAACCACTTTATTTTGGTAACTACCTAAACATTTTGACTAGAACTGAACTGAAGCTACTGATTCAGTCAAGTGTTGATCTTGTTTGCTTTGTGTGAAGTTCAGTGAACAGTAAGGCTGTGTTTATATGGGCTGTATTGTGCTGTAGAGAAAGTTTCAAGAATTTAAGTTTTTATCCATTAAGCAGTAGCACTTATGGCAAAGTTGGACTTGCTAGCAATCTGAACTTCTTAATCTTGATGCAGTTGCTGCCATGTGAGTCAGGAAAAATTTAAGTTTACCGTCATTTCAATTACACGTTATGACTTTGTTACATGACAGAACAAATTAGATTAACAAAATTAACATAAAAATAGTTAGAATTTAAATAATTTAGTCCAGTAAGAGCATTTGAAACTTTGGTTGACATCATTTAGCTCTCAATCAATTTCACCTCAGATACACTTGTTTTAAATCTAACCAATTATACAAATTGTTTCAAGGATTTTATTGCTTCAATTAAAAATGGTTGTTTTTTAAATGCACTCTACTGGAAATCTTTTTTTTTTTTTTTTAAATCACCACTCCATCTTCAATCCACATGCTGTCATTCACATTTGAAAACATTTCTCTTCTTTTTTTTTTTGTTGTAAAAGTCATATCTTTAACAATCCAGCACTTAAGACCCCCATAACCAAACCACTGACTATCCTCTGCCTGTGTCACTCGTCTGCATCCTTGCTGTTAACCCTCTCAGACTCTTGCGGTCTCTTTTCCAGGACATGGCGGCGTGAACCAGCTCGGAGGCGTGTTTGTAAACGGCAGACCCCTTCCAGACGTGGTCCGACAGCGAATAGTGGAGCTCGCCCATCAAGGGGTTCGACCCTGCGACATCTCGAGGCAGCTGCGGGTCAGCCATGGATGCGTCAGCAAGATACTGGGCAGGTAAAAGACAAACATGCCAGCACAATACTGATGACGTTCACTGCTGCCCTTTTTGTGGCTAGACACTGGGAGAAAATGTGTGCTTTTATGGAAGAGAAGCAGAAAGTGTCTGCATTTAAGCATTGTCCCTTTACTAGTACAAAGTGAACATGAACATGGCTGGTTATTATTTGTGCTGTAGTCACGTCTTGTGTTGGCATTTTAGAGTTTGAGAAATCAACGCACAGACACAATCACACTCTTTAGCTTTAATTAAACTGAATTCATTTTTTATTCCAGTACTGGAAAAGTTGAACAAAGTCTGAAACTTGTTAGTGCTCTAAACAATTTTAAATAAATGAAAATGAAGCATTTCTACATTACAGTTTACTCTTGTAAGTAGTTGGCAGTGTTGTTAAGCTTCCAATAAACAACGACCGGTCCAGCCTTAAGCCACACCATAATTTTTGAAAAACTCCTTAACTCAGAATCCTTCCTGCACAATCCCTCCAACATCTAAAAATTTTATTTTATTTTTTTGTGAAACTGTTAGATCTTACACAATTTTAGTTTGTAACTTCTGCTTTACATTCTAGTTGATGTGATCTTGTTGGTGGAGAAGCTGACTGGTCAATTTTCTAAAACTTCTTTCTTCTTCAGCACACATAAGCTGTATTTTCAGCCATGTTGGCCTTCGGTTTCACTTGCCTCCACCTTTTCACCTTCCCCCTCTCGCCTCTGTGTCCCGTAAGTCTTCCCTGACGCTTCTCAGTTTTGTGAATCTTCTCACCTCCCTTTTCTCTCCTTCCTCTGTGTGTCTGTCTGGCTTTTCAAAGCTAAATTCAAGAGCAAATCCCTGCTCGTTCCGTCCCCCACAAGAGAAAAAAAAGGCAGACAATGGGAAAAAGATTCATCACTTTTTTTTTTTTTTTGTTTGAATTAGCATCAAAATGAAAGTGGTACAATATTTCTGAACCGCCACCAACCAAAAAAAAAGTGAGAAAGGTGAAGAATGGAATAAATGGAAGAACAATCAGAAAGGAAAAAGGCGTGTTAAGAGAGTAGAGTGCTGCAAGAAGAAAAATGAATGAGAGACATAGAGACCATTTGTGGGGACAGAGGGGAAGGATTAGCAACAGCGACCCTCAGCTATATCAAAAAATGTGTTGCTCATTGTTCTCTCATGCCTCCCTTTCCCTTTTTCTGTCTTTCCCTCTCTATCTCTTTCTTTCTTCCCCTCTCCTGGCCATTCAACTCACTGAAGCGTTACTGTGAGGGGGAGGAGAAGGGACCGAGGGATGGATGGAAGGAGGGAGGGCTGTTTTATCCTCTCCTCTCTGTCTCTCTGGTGCCAGCAGAACAAAAACACCAACTCTACCACCCTGTGCGTGTCTCTGAGTGTGTGTGTGCGCGCGTGTGCGTGAGCGTGAGCAAGTGAGTGAGTGCGTCGGCTCATCGTTGAGCAGGATATCAATAACCGAGCTCGTTTATTCACCGATGATTCAGCTGTGAATAATTTAAATCGTTTTCCATTTGAAAATAGATTGTTTTTTTTTCTCCTTCAGCTGTGTTTATGCTCCAGCTGTGAGGAGTCAAAAAGTGCAACACACACAGGGGGAGAAAGACAAGGAGGCACACATTTACAGCAACTCGCATCTTCACGGAAAGGATTACTCCACCGTACAGTGGAGGGAGAGCAGCAGGTTTAAGACTGACTGACAGCTTGCAGCCACGCAAAGCACCCCTCACCCCTTCCGCACACACACACAAACACACACAAGCATTTTTTTTTTAATTTTTTCTTCTGCAAACTGAGCGGTGCACTAGCTGTGCTTCCATCTCCCGCCCTCCTGCCCTTTCTGCATGCAAATACATTCATGAAATAGCCATGGTGGACACTAAACGCTTCAATTTTTTCTATGCGGGGAAAACAGCAGCCGTTCAGCAGATCGAGTCAGGCATCAGAAGCATTGTGTCACGGCTGTTTGAGGGGGATACAGTCGCATTAAACAATTTAGCTGACACAGATATCTCAATGTAAATCAGACAGATGCAGCATTATGTAACAAGCTGAAAGTGTTTGATGTCATTCGCAGAATACAACAGAAGAAAGGCTGTAGGGTTAATAAATGTTAGTCAAAACTTTACTCACTGCATCAAATTCATTTAAAAACGATAAACAAGATGATTTGATCATGATAGTGCTGCGGAGCCTCACAAAAATATTCATGCTTCTTCATCTTTCTCACTGTTCATCTACTGATTTCAATTTGGACCCCTTTTTATGAACTGGCTGACTCCTACATGTAACTGCTTGTGGTGCATAAAGGGGTTGAATACGAATGCACTCCACACTTTTCAGATTTGTATCTCTACAAAATATCTATCCTTCCATTTCATTATTTCCACTTCTTAAAATATGTTGAAGTTTCCTGGAAAGTAGCTGGAGTCAATGAGTGCACAGATGAGAAATGACGACGGGTGTTTTTTAATAGATAAACATATTTTTTTTCTTATAATTAAAGATAGCTGATTAAAAGGCTTTGTTTCTATTTTTATTTTCGACAAGGTCTTCATAATATCTGATAATGAAATATTTTTCATCCATTTATCCAGTTCTGGTTGTTTGATTCAAAATTACCAGTTTTAGACAGATTCCATGCAGATTCAGAGTATTTAGCCAGTTGGTAAAAAAAAAAAAGTTTTCTGTCTAAGGAAATCCAACCAACTGATTTGAGTTACTGACTTTGCAAACTGAGCAAACATTTGGTGACATTGGAAATGGATAATGCCCCTGTAGCAATATGTCTGCTTTAATGGGGAAGGTAGCCAGTAGCAAGATGTAGCATCTCCAGCATTCATGCCATATTACATTTGCAATCAGAAGTTCAAAATGGTGAAACATCAACCGCTGAAGTCTTTAATTCTGACTGGGAAAATCAGAAGGTTTTCCATAATCCTGACCTAAAGATCCAATATGGCTGCAGCACCTGCAAAAGGCAATTGTAGCTGATTTAGAAAATAAATAATGTCTGATTGTGAAAGTTTAGCTGTACTGTTTGATCTTATAATATCCAGACTCCCTGTTATAGTCTTCCTCCACTCCCTGCCCCGCAACACCTCTCCCACACAGCGGTCATCTTTTTTCTTTCATTCATCCCCCCCTGCAATGGCACGGTGCCCCCCCCCCCCCGCCCCCAAGGGGCGCCGCCACAACCTTTGTAGACCCACGGAAAAAACT